AGCTAGCTCGACCGCTGCAGCAAGAAGCCATATGCCAACTACCACGCGTGATCCTGTTGCTGCTGCTGGCGCTGCTGCTGCTGCAACCGTAGTGAGCGGTGCGGGTTGTGTGACGGGCACCGCGGCCACGAATGCGATGACTTCTGCGCTGGGTGCACCGGGTACTGGTCACGGTGCTGGAGTGCGGGGGGCAAGTCGTCGCAGCAGCAGCAGCAACAGCAGCCAGTTGTCAGTCGGTATGCGTGCCAGAGTGTGCGATCGGCAAAACCCTAAAGTCAAACAGTCTGGCACGATCACTCGCTTGGAAACTATCAAGTCGGGAGATGGACTTGACCGGGTATCTGCCACACTTGAAATGGTAAGAGCACAGTACCTCACCGGTACAGTGAAACCTTGTTAAGAAGAACACTGATAACTTGTGATAAGCCAAACGTTCGCTTTAGAAGAACTAGTATTCATAACTGTATTGGATAAATCTGTGTATTCACTGCCTATAAAATTATGGATATTAAAGGAGAACTCCCGTTATTGGGAGCAGATGTCATTGCTCCCTTGGTGTTTGTCCGAAACTTGGACGTTTGACCGAATTTGACAACAGAGCACATGTTGCAGTCAACTGTCGGCTTACCTAGCTGCATCATGCGTGGCATCAATGCCATGCTTGTATGAACATTTTTAGTGCAATCATGTGTCAGCCCACACAGTCCGTGGGTGCAAAGAGCAGGTCATGCCACTTCTTATGAATTGTGTACAGTGTACATGTACCGGCACATGGGATGATGTGCCGTGGATGAGCTCATTGCTTGCTAGAGAGCGATGTCCAGTGATTTACGACCGGTAAGATTTGCCAAAGACCTTGCTGGAGGAACTATGTCCTCACGAAAATGGCAAACCGAATACGGCAGTGTCATAGCGTATTTCATTGTGTCATTGGAACATGTATTTTCACTTTTGACGGTATGTGTCCAACAGGATCCTCCATCATTCCAGGGTGATGGTGATGTTCAGGAATATCTGAGAACACGAACTGTACCAGCTGAGCTATTGGAATATGATCTAAACGTCCTGCCAACTTCCACCCCAGTCATTCACGCAGATATCCGGCCAAATGGTCGCACTCGACTTGACAACGACATTCGGACTGACCATTTTGGCACGGCTGCCGCTGCCGGTATGTCTCCTACGAGCCGCCGCAGCAGCAGGGATCAGGGCAATCCTGTGCGGTCTACCACAGACCCCGGTTCGGCGTCCACTGTGCGGCACCATCAGCAGCTGCAGTCAGCCGGCACGAATCACACAGTATCAGCAGCAGCATCAGCGGCGGCAGTGGATGGAAGTGTTGCTAGCAGACCAGGCCAGGCCAGTGACCGCCACCAGTACAGTGGTGCTAGTGATGGTATACCTGGCAGTCAGTACAGCAGTGCTGCTAGTGCTGCTAGTGCTGCTAGCGCTAATAATGGTACACCTGGTGTGAGTGGCACCAGAACCTACGCATCTGCAGCAAACAGTAGCAACGATGGTGCTGCAGTGACCGCTAACCACAGGCCGAGAAGTGGACAGCGCGATGAGGAGCATTTCGTGGCTGAGCAGCAGCGGCGTTTTGATAACCTTCCGCAGAACTCCGATCCCGGCTTAGTTCGTGAGCAGGAGCGACGGCTGGCTCAGTTCAATAAGACGGGCAGCAAGGACATATCCTCTTCCCAGGACCTCAATGCTGCCACTGCAGTTGTCAAAGCACCGGGGCCGGGGCCTTTATCCAACGTACCGTCCACTGCACCGACCAGTGACCTTGATACAGGCTCTGCAGCACGGGCTGACGACGACTTACCCCGGGACGTGCTGGTACTGGTCTCTGGTCGATATATTCCCGGTGTAATCAAATGGATCGGGACGTCGGCTGGTAGCACTGAGCGATTGGCTGGCGTTGAGCTGGTAAGTTGAACATGTGAATTAGCTACTGACAGAATGGACAGAGAGGAATCTAGAAACACCAATGTTTGTTTCTGCTAGGCTTTGCAAATGAATGATAAGCACATGATGAATCCCAACCTCGCTCATCTGCACATACAGGAAAAGCATCAATTACTCCAGACATTAATTATCCACGGATCAGATCAACTATCCAGACGATAGATTGTCCGGAGTGGCTCCTCTCTCTCTCTCTCTCTCTCTCTCTCTCTCTCTCTCTCTCTCTCTCTCTCTCTCTCTCTCTCTCTCTCTCTCTATCTATCTATCTATCTCTCTCTCTCTCTCTCTCTCTCTCTCTCTCTCTCTCTCTCTCTCTCTCCAATTGAGTTTATCATGTGAAAATTGACTGTTCTCCTTAGCGATCCCCTTTGCTATGACTCTATTTTACGTTACAGGACGAGAAGATAACTAATTCTCAGGATGGTTACCTTGACGGGAAGAAGCGCTTTGATTGCGCCAAGAATCGTGGCAAATTCGTGCCCTTGGATGAGTGCGAAGATCGCCCCCGTGATCCCCCAGTGTCAAGCTCACACAGTAAGGCCAGATCACATGAAGGACATGCAAACACGCACGCACACAATGATAAACTGATGCAAGTCAGATGCGGGTAATTGCAAAGGAACCTTGGCAACAGCTCACTGTGCTCAATACCAATGGGGTAGTAGTGTGGCAGAGCAGTGTGCCGATAACAAAGGTCCAGTGAATTAGAGCATTCAATCTCTCTACTCGAGTTTCATGCTTAGTGAAGTAATAGCATTAGGAGCTCCCCCCCCCCCCCCCCCCCCCCGGTAATTTTGTGATTATTCTGCCTGGTTCATGGACAGTTCCCAGGTGCGGGCTGGGTCCAGTCCTGGGAATGCCGAGCACAGCCATCCCTCTACAGTAGACACCAGCAATAGACACCCTTAGCAAAAAACGTTATGTTGTAACGGTATTACCGTAAGGGGAAAAATACCGAGATTCGGGCTCCACCTTTAGCAAGATGCACGTTAATTTTAGGACGCTGTTGCCATGAGTATAGCTTTTATTCCGCGCGGTACAACCATTTATGGCGCCTTATACGTGATACAAGGTGAAATGGGTACGCACTACGCAATAATTGGCCGAAAAACGTACCGTTTGTCACAACGATAAATCAGACCCCTAATGTTTTTACGCTGAGGCTTCAACACTATTTGGGTGATCAAGGTACGAGTACCATAAAAGAATAGCGTTACCATTGTTTGCTAAGGGTGTCTAATATCTAGATTTTCGGGAATCCTCACAATGGCCCATCCATGCACGCACTGACTACAGCAACAAATCATATCTGTCAGTCCAACACCCTCTCTCAGTAGCCAGCAGAATTTTGCAGGCATGACGTCGGGTTGTAATTGGGGCCATTGTATAGCCGCAGCAGCACTTTATTGGACATTTGTAATTTCCAGAGGTGTCCTCCCAGCAGTTAATTAACAGACAGTGTAGACGCGCACATATATCCTATGTCCAAGAACAGTTTGTGTACTCTGTGTGTGTGTGTGTGTGTGTGTGTGTGTGTGCGTGCTTGCGTGCGTGTGTGATGATTCATCCTTATGTGCCTTGCAGCGTCTCCTTCTGACAGCCCACCGCGGACACGAACAACAACTTCCGCTCCTCCTCCTGCTGCTGCTGCTGCAACTACCACTGGTGGTACTTCATCTAGCTTGTCTGCATCAGCTACCTCGTCTACTTCTAGCTCTGGCGCTGCTCTGGCAGGACGTACATCTGCTGCTGCTACTGCTGCCACTGCAGGAGCCAGCGCTGACTCAGAAATGGAGCGCTCTCTGCGCAAACTCAGAACATCCATGGTGCCTCTTAAAGGCGACACTATAGTTCACTTGCCGCAGAAAATGGTAGAGCTTGGACAGTCCAGTCGTTGGCGTGCACTGGTCAGCTACCTGGGCTTCACCTCGACGGATCTCTCAGCACTGATCACTGGAGGGGAGAGTGATGAACAGTGCCTGCTGACTGTACTCTGGAACTGGGCGGAGAATACGCCTGCTACGTTCGGTCAACTGGCGCGGGCACTGTCCAACGTGCACTGCGATGGCATTGCCTACGACTTGCTTGTGCCAGCACTGCGCAAAGCTGAAGCAGGTAACATTACGCGTGTGCCGGCAGATCGTGCGTAGTCAACTATTGTACAGTCTTCTGTTTGATGCAATGCAACGTACATGTATGTGCACTGCAATCAGTCTCAGCTTGCCCTTGGCATACGATACTACAGTCGTGGCCAAAGAAATCCGACCCGCGTGTCAAAAGTAGCGCCCCGTTTCCATTTCAATTACATCATGCAGGCTCCAAAAACTGATCCGAGGGCCGCATGAGCGTTGGCGCTGCTTTCGGCACATGGGTTGGAATTCTTAGGCCACAACTGTAGTACATTGCGCAGTGAATGTAAGGCCCGTATCTTGCCGTTGTCTCCACTAGATCCCATTATTTCTGACCGGCTTCTATCGTGTTTTTTTTCTATTTGCAGAGAGCGTGTCTTCTGGTGCAGCATCATCGAGCCGCATACATGGCACTAATCACCAGTCTCTGCCGGCCATGCAGGAGTCTGAGCCAGTGCGCGACACCTGTCCACCAGCGAATGCCATAATGGCTGGTCGAAAGAAGGGTATTCAGGTGAGGCCACATCACACCAGCCTGCATCAGTACTACTCTATGAGCGTATGTACAAGATTGTGCGCGTGTGTGTATGTGTGTGTGTGTGTGTGTGTGTGTGTGTGTGTGTGTGTGTGTGTGTGTGTGTGTGTGTGTGAGCGTGCGGGGATGTGGGCGGGCGCACGTCTGTAGTCATGGCCAGAGGCTACTTGTAAATATACATGGCATTTGTTTACATGTACATGTACACAGCTGCAGACGGTCGGGGGACTCTCCTGATTCATTCCCTGTAATCAGTCTGACTATTGCAGCCGCTCTCTCTCCTTCCCCATCGATCTTTCCCTCCTCTCTCTCTCTCTCTCTCTCTCTCTCTCTCTCTCTCTCTCTCTCTCTCTCTCTCTCTCTCTCTCCTCTCTCTCCTCTTCTTCTTGCCATCGCAGGGTCATCACAACTCCTGCTACATGGACTCAACTCTGTTCGCAATGTTCGCTCATAGTCTAGCGTTCGATGGTACACTGCACAAGGCGGCAGCAAGAAGTGAAGGTGCCGAGGGTGTCCGTAGGCACCTGTTGGAGAACATTGTCAATCCATTGCGAAAGTAAATCGTCCTATTTTGGTGCTCTTGTAGGAATGTACGCACGCACGCAGACATATGCAAGTATGCACACACGCACACACACACACACACACACACACACACACACACACACACACACACACACACACACGCACAGATCAGATCAGATTCAACTGATTGTGCGTGATGATTGTACACTGGTGGTCCCCATGGTGTGAAGGTTATGAGAACAAAACTTGTGACAGGCAAGCTTGAAAGGTGGTCTTTAGAACCAGGTCCCACAGTGTCTGTGTAGAACTGTCCGTGCATGGAAAAACGGTCGTTAAGAGCAGGTGGTCGCTAAACACAGAGGTCGTTAAGAGCAGGTGGTCGCTAAACACAGAGGTCGTTAAGAGCAGGTGGTCGCTAAACACAGAGGTCGCGTACACCAGGTTTTACTGTACCAACATCGCTGGCCATGCGCGTTACTCTTATCCACAGCAGCCTGCACTATTATTTTCGTTACAGTCGGAAAGCATTGCCTCCTACTTTGAAGTACAACAAGTGCATAACACACTCCTATCTCAGTTATCCGAACATCAAAGTCATGGACACTGTTAGTTGCCGGTCACTCTTTGGGCGACTTTTAGTGGAAATATCACTATTTTTGTCACTTTTGTGGAATGGTGACGTCATAATTATGTCATATCTCTGGCCTTTCCCCATCAAAATGAATGTGATTCAGAGCTACGGGTATTTCAAAGTCTCGGGCAGTGTCCGGTCCCAGACTACCTGGATAAATAGGGCATAAGTGTACCAGTACGAGTTAAATAAGTCAATATCTCTCCAAACTCTGCTGCCACTTCTACTACATCACACATGTGCTCACCAGGAATGGCTTTGTGTCGTGGGGTCACATCATGTCGCTTCGAAGGCAATTCAACAACCTCGGCAACGTCACCGATTTGACAGATGCTGAGAAAGGTCAGTCTGTTCACCATCATTGACTAATCTGTTGGTGTACGAGCTCAGTGTAGATCTGCCCACCAATAGGACTTGGCTTGGAGAGATTGAAGCCAATGTGGGCCGCACAAGACAATGACCAAGGACCAGGGAGTTAATGTGCATGTACTCCCGGGGGTGGGGGCATCAATTTAATGACACTGGTTAGCATGTGATAAAGGAGGGCATGCCAAACCCGAGGCAATGAGTATGACTCACTGACACTGATTGGCAAGCAATGCTGAGTACTCAACGTTGTGACCAAGGTAGCTGTTCTAACTGAACCACTGCTTCTCAAAGACTTTTCTTCACAGTGGAAGGAATAAGAAAGCTTTCAGCCAAATGGTCGATGATAATGATGCAGTGGACAACAGTTGACTGCTTGTTTCACTAGATCAACAGAGCCCGGGCCATAGTCACTAAGTGGGCTCAATCGGCTGAAGCTTGAAAACCAGCCAGTGTGGTGTGTTCGACAGACTAGGTTGTATCACGTCATGTCTCCTGGGATGCATCCACTGGCCCTGCTTGACATGTTTCTGCCTCAAAAGTTCGAAAAGCATCTCAGCCGGGCACTATAACTATTTTAGTTTTACACCCAGGAGATGTGTGGAGTGGATATAATGCTCAACGATGCTGGTGCTGTTTATCTCTCCAGATCCCGAGGAGTTCCTGATCTTGATGTGGGAGAAAATCCTGGGTGCTGATCCATTCCTCAAGCTCAAGTAGGTTGACTTGTCAAAGGTTTGGACAGTAAGAAAGTCCAGTTTTGTTGGTAATTCACTGGTACTATTACTTCAAGTGGCTTTCTATTGTACTCATGGTCTTCGCTAAATTATTTGCCAATGTGGATGGACGGATCTCTGCGCGGGTGTGTGTGTGTGTGTGTGTGTGTGTATGTGTGTGTGTGTGGGGGGGGGGGGGGGGTGTTTGTGTGCACTGGTATGGGTTCGCAGGACACCACAGCAAGACGGCAACTCAACGTTTATGCACCAGCTCTTTGTTCCGTCAGAAGGTAACAAGAAGATTGCTACAGTGCAGGAGCTCCTTGAGCAATCATTCTCGGAGTCACAGCTGATGCTACGTGAGGTATGGGTAACGTTGCCAGAATATGTTGTCACCAGAAATGAGCTGTGTCCTAACGGTAGAACTACACAAGTTAACTGCATACGGACACTGGCATCTATTTGAGAAATCTGCCCTGTCACAAGTCAAACATTTCCATTCCAAATTTCCGAGGCCTAAGCAGTTGAAGCTCACAGTTTCCCGCTGCTGTACACATTAATGTATGTGTGTGCATGCGTGTGCGTGTGCGTGTGTGTGTGTGTGTGTGTCTGTGTGTGTGCATGTGCATGTGTTGATTCAGCTTTTTGAAGCTCCAAATATTCTAGATGCATGGCATTTTAGCGCAAACTCATGCGCAACACCCATGTACATTATGACGATGATATGTTTAGCCTACTAGTACTAGTAATCAACAATATGCATGTGGTTTCTAGGCACCCTCCGTTCTCATTCTGCAAATGCCACGGTTCGGCCGAACGTACAAGCAGTTCGACAAGATCATTCCCAGCCTACGCCTGAACATTACCAATCTGCTGACTGAGGGTAAGATGCTTAAAAAATAGACAGGATTTGCCGGACGTTTGCATTAGTCGTAAGTTATTGTCCTAAGTCCCTATTACTTCGTTCAAAGCTCATTGGCCCCAAAAATAAGTCGCACGCCCATTTTCATGTCTCCATTGTATGGCTTCTGGTTGTTTGCTTCAGTTTAAGTCACAATCGATTGCAAGTCCCTTTGCCCGACCTTGAACAGAAAGGTGCAACTTACACACAGGTAGATGCGGTACTTCTAAGGAAACACGTCCTATCTAATATTGGCACATGCGTGTGCAACGTCCGTCGTGGAACTATCCAGAATGTATTTCCTCTTGTTCTTTGTCTTATGTCAAACAATGCGGCGTGTGCTCACGACTGCAGGAAGTCGAGTGTGCGGCATATGCGAACAGGCAGCCACGGTGACCTGCTACGACTGCCACAGGGACTTCAAGGCGGCTACGGCAAACGCTGACGCCACCAGCGTGTCCGGCGTAGTAGCCGTGCCACCGGCAGAGCAGCAGCAGCAGCAGCAGCGCCGCAGCGCCGGCCGCAGCGCCGGCCTGCTTCACAGCAATGACCAGGTGCACATCAACTACTGTCAAGTCTGCTCGGCGCAGGTGCACCTGAACCGGCGGCGGCGCCAGCACAAGCCGCAGCCCCTGGAGCGCTGCGATCGGAATATGCGACGCGACCTGGTCGCCGACAAGCTGGAGACCATGGAGCTGTTTGCTGTCATCTGCATCGAAACCAGTCACTATGTGTCGTTTGTCAAGTGCAATGCCATGGCGGACAGCGACTGTGAGGGCCATGATGGTGAACCGGGAAAGCAGAGTGAAGGGAAATGGTGTTTCTTTGACAGCATGGCGGATCGTGTCGGTAAGTAATGCCACTGATGTGCTCCATGTTCACCTTGTTGCTTTCCACACTTTCTTGGACACGGGAATTTGTTATTACGGTTACAACACATGCACTATAAAATGTACTTTTAAAAAGTACGTGTTCTTCGAAGTAACGTTACATGTACATGTATAACACAAGATTCCCAAAACTGCAGGGCTTACTCAGTGCAGGCTAAGGAATGCTAAGATGAAACCAGTTTCACGAATTCCTCCTCTAGGTATAGGAGTTTAGCGTGCTAGAATGACACCCTCCCAGGCTTATGTCATGCATGCATTACAGCCCGTTGGCTTTGGTGGTGTTAATACCTGACTTCTCCATGTGCATACCTTTCCTCTGGAACTTTCTGTAGGCGAACAGGATGGCTACAACATACCGGAGGTGAAGGCCATGCCGGACCTGGTCGACTGGGTGAGCGACTTGCGGCGCGTTGAGCGTGCCACGTCCAGGGACATGCCACCGGAGATCCGGCGTCTGCTCAGTGACCCGTACATGTGCCTGTACCAGAACACAGGCATGCTCATGCATAGCTGAACACAGGCATGCTCATGCATAGCTGAACACAGGCATGCTCATGCATAGCTGAACACAGGCATGCTCATGCATAGCTGAACACAGGCATGCTCATGCATAGCTGAGCCCCAGCGGTTGTTGGCATACTGGAAAAACCACACACAGCTATGCAATTGCATGGCTGAGCTCCAGTGGTTGTCACACACTGACGAAACTACACACGGGGATGCTGATGCATGGCTAAGCTCAAGTGGTCGTCGGCGCACTGACAAAACTCACAAACGCACGAGTATCAAAGAAAGAATCTACGGTGGTGGTGTTGAGCCAAAGTATCACGTGGGTGGTGCCAACATCGGCAGGTACCAGCAGTGGCAATGCACACACATGTGTAGTTAGGGTACATCTAGTGCTATACAAGTATTAGGACTTTTAATATATAACCTATGTGTCTCGGAATGCTCCTGGCACAACTGTGTTACACTCCCTTTTTCCTTTTCTTATTCTGTTTTCCCTTTTACCCCACAATATTTATATGCTTTTTCGACAGCTCTGTTTCAGATTAAAGTTTTAATAGCCTTGAAAGTCTTTAAAAAAAAGTTTACCAAGGTGCCATCTCTCTCTCCACGGCAGTGGTAACACTTGATTTTAGGAATATTCTAAGCAATGTATCATCCGGCGTTGTGTGTGTTTTCATCCCGGCCGTGGAGCCAAATGCAGACATCATTTTAGTTTTCAACTACGTTTGCCCACTCGTTTTCCTCCTCCATTCATATGGTTTAACACACTACCATGCATTGCATTCTTACGTTTGTTTTCAGTTAGCAATATTGCACCACAATGCCAGGTTGTCCTATTCAAAATGGCAACATGCTTACATGTGATTTTAAAACGTAGTGACCAGTAAAAATAGACCCTGTGGGTAGGGGTAGAATAGCGCTGGAATCCATGGCCGTAGCACCATGGATGCTACTCTCTGCAATTAAAAGCGGCGCTACTCAGTCCATGAAGTCGAATTTCATTGGCCAGTAGTTCATGTAATTACTACCATTAATACTACCATTATAACCTGCAGTGCTGCAACTGCATTGTCAATGGATCATACTTCAAAGTTGAACTCGGATGGCGAGCCAATAATAATTATAGTTATGATGAAGAAAGGAAAAGTGGTGGACAGTTTGTCATAACTCGTAACATTTTGTCCTTTTCCTTTCTTGATCATACTTCAAGTAATTCTTTTCTCAAGCACACGGTGGAAAGGGTTATCCCCAGCTTCTCGCTTTGCTGGATTATAAAATGTCAACAATTATTATCCAAAATGCTGAGGAACCAGCAGGAATCTAATGGGAAAAGCAAGTTTGTACGTGATACGTGATAAAAAATAATGCTCTTCAACCACTGATTTTTTAAAGAAATGAACAGACAAAACTTTCACAAAATGAAGAAAGGAAACTTCAGAAACGCGCACATAAAATTGTTTTTGGGTGGCCAAGGGACATACCGGCAAAGTTGTCATTGAGAAAATGGAACAGTAGACGTATGAAGTGAAACAATACAGCATAGGCATGTACATGACTGTACAATGTCATGAATGTATCTGTACCTGGCATAACCAGGTTGAGTGATGTAGAACGGATAGAATACCTCCTTGCTACATTCCTGCCGTTGCTCCAGAATTGACATCGGTTGTGCTCACCGGCAGCCACCGGACAACACGAGCCAGTTACTGGCCTGTCCCGGCATACAACAACGCATCCATGTATGTATGTATGTATGTATGTATGAGCAGCGTTGAAATGTACTACATGAGCTACATCGAGAGCGAGAGATGTATGGACACAGTGTCCTGGCACACTCTTGACACAAATCAGCAAACCTTGGTCCATACTATAGCTGCAGCATCAGGACCAGTACCATTCATGGCTTATCAACATACTTTCATAGACCAGGCATATTGGCCTTTCTCAGATCTGAGGCAAACATCTGAACGTTCATACTTGCCTCACAGCAACTTCACTTGCAGCAAAGTGCCGTTCGAAGAGACAACACTGTACAATATTGTGTTGCTGCTACGGCATGGGGTTGCGAGCACTGCTACTTGAAGCACTAGTACATTTTAAACACAGTTGTTGCGTATGTGCTGCTGCATACTTTGCCTACATGAGCCCGCTTGACACACTGAGGCTGCGCTTGTTTGCTGGCCTTTTTCCAAAGTCCTGTGCAACGCACTTGTAGCCTGCAATAGCGTTGCAAGGCAATGGAATAACAGTCCCTGGTGCCACACGCGTGGGAATGTCGTCCCAGACAAAGCTAAGTTATCAGCCCGTGGAGTAATTCGATTGCTTTCAGCAACGACCATCCGACTCTTTCCACTGCAAAACAACGGCGAGTGGCTCAACGAGTGCAACATGCACTTCGGTAGAGTTGCTAAGCCTGGTGCAGCCAAACTGAAACAAATTATTCCAGAATGATCACCTCAGTCCTCGGGAGGTGGGAGGTGAGCTGGCATCAGTGCTCTGTTTTCGCGAACAGTGAGGTAGAGGTAATTTATCAGAGGGAGTGTGAAGGTAAAGAAGAACGCACAATCTGAACACTAGACTTCTGGTGCAGTTCTTTCTTGGCCACAGCCTGGACTACTTCACTGCCCAATGGCATACCGGTAGTGAATAGCAGCAGAGAACTGACAGCATAGCAGCTACACATGTGCGATCATCGGCCCACTCTGTCCAGGGAAATGCAAGGCACTGCTAGCGCGCAGAGAGGACAACACGCGCCGCGGCAGACTCAACGTTTCAGCTCACTGCACAGGTCTGGCGGAGCGCCCGGCGGAAGACATTGCCACGGCAACACGCCTCGCTTGTCAGGGTGCGTAGCCAAGGACGGATGGTGCTTGAGTAGCAGCCGGCATACACTGGCATGGCCTCCTTCGCATGCCTGCGAGATACAGAAATATAATTAGGCGAGACCAAAAAAAATAGAGATTCCCGGGCCCTCCCGCACCAAAATCGAGCCAAAGCCAATTTTTTTTGAACAGTTCATACATGTACAGTACTGATCGTGTGAGTAGTAGATCTGTGACGTGGAGTCACACAAACCCGAGCTTGTACGACTCCCAGATGTACAGATCAGGGCCATCGTTGGCCGAATTATAGAAAAATGAACGGGTAAACCGCGTACCTGTTTTCTGTAAAAAAACTGAATAAAAATTACCAGAAAATGCTGTAAAAAAAGTTCAACATGGCATGCACACATATATAGTCATGTACATACATGGGAAAAAATAAAAAAATAAAATTCGCCCGCCCGCACCAATTTCACATGGGTCCTGCCCGGGAATCTCGATTTTATTTTGGTCTCGCCTTATAGCAATTCTTCACACCTACACAGACATTTGCCCGCACCCGCGTCAAATCTCCATGAGAATAGAATATCCATCAGCAAAAGGCTGGATTAGGGTACTTTGCAGAGCTCAAAAGTCAGTCTCTTACGATGCACAGGGAAGCCTGCGTACAACAAAAGTGTACCATATTTATTGTAGACGGCTGTTCTTTCTTACTCCGTACTAGTTGAAGCGTGTTCTACTGTAGAATGAAATTGAAGACACCACTGCAGCTGTACTTATGGTTGATAAATATGGTGGTAAAGACACACCTAGCAATATGGCGGTAAACACACGCCTGCCCACACACGCTCTGTAGGCTGCAAAGTTCTGGCACAGAGCTCTCCTTCTCACCACCACCACCATCAGTTCGCGCCTGGCGCCTGGTCGATGCATGGCTGGCGGTATCCGGCATAACAGGCTGGTACATCAAGTAGCGCATGGCACATAGATGATGACACAGCAACGACATAGCTCGATTGCGACGTACGTTTCGTCCCCGCTGGACTCATCAGGCAATCTTCTTCCTTGGATGTCTTCATACGGAGCTTGACTCGGGAGAATGAAATTGAAGACACCACTGCAGCTGTACTTATGGTTGATAAATATGGTGGTAAAGACACACCTAGCAATATGGCGGTAAACACACGCCTGCCCACACACGCTCTCTCTAGGCTGCAAAGTTCTGGCACAGAGCTCTCCTTCTCACCACCACCACCATCAGTTCGCGCCTGGCGCCTGGTCGATGCATGGCTGGCGGTATCCGGCATAACAGGCTGGTACATCAAGTAGTGCATGGCACATAGATGATGACACAGCAACGACATAGCTCGATTGCGACGTACGTTTCGTCCCCGCTGGACTGGTGTCTTCAATTTCATTCTCCCGAGTCAAGCTCCGTATGAAGACATCCAAGGAAGAAGATTGCCTGATGAGTCCAGCGGGGACGAAACGTACGTCGCAATCGAGCTATGTCGTTGCTGTGTCATCATCTATGTGCCATGCGCTACTTGATGTACCAGCCTGTTATGCCGGATACCGCCAGCCATGCATCGACCAGGCGCCAGGCGCGAACTGATGGTGGTGGTGGTGAGAAGGAGAGCTCTGTGCCAGAACTTTGCAGCCTACAGAGCGTGTGTGGGCAGGCGTGTGTTTACCGCCATATTGCCAGGTGTGTTCTACTGTATTGTTCATTTATACCTCACTCCATATACACCCACACTCATATACCAGATCTCCCATGAAGTTTATAAATTTCCATACACTGTTCAATATACGCCACTAAGGAGGTATATACACCACTAAGGAGGTATATACACCACTGAGGAAAACCATCAGAAAAAAACCCACTGAGGAGCTTTCTTTCTCTAAAAAGGAGTGTATATAGCTTTCTTTCTCTAACGCTATATTCACTCCTTTTTAGGGAAAGAAAGCTATATTCACTCCTTTTTACAAATAACCTACGTGGAGATAATAATTTTAATATAGCTATGAATAGGATGAAGGCCGCAGACATCACGCAACTACGTTACTTGTTTGACATGTATTACTGAATTTACTGATTAAATTTACTGTGTATTTTATAACAAAAATATCACTCCTTTTTGCTCTTGAGCTTGCGCATGGAGAGGTATAAATATATTATAACAAGGGACCTCGTGTATATCGAGAAATATCGACCAGTTATAAAAACCTCGGCTTCGCCTCGGTTTTTATACTGGTCTATATTTCTCGATATACACGAGGTCCCTTGTTATAATATATATACATATCCAGGCTGTCCAAGGCTTCCCTTCAGATTCCATGCACCGGACTATCGATACAGATATTGAAGTTATAAGTTACATGTACAGTGTGTATCGGTTATAGTGTGGTCGTATACAAGAATATACTGCTTACAAGAATGAACACTCATTTTTTCATAATCATAACACATATTTTATGTGTATATTTATTCTTACAAGCAGTATTATCGCATAGTAGAATATATCGGCCCTAAGAATGGATTTTGTGTAGCAAAATATGCCAGATTAGTGCAAAGTATATCGCCTGTAGTAATAACATCTGTGCTCTGTGCATACTCAATACTAATATTCAACACAACAAGAGAGTTATGTCCAAGGCTTTAAGGGAGCATTGGAGAATCACCTTTTCTGTCCAGTCGAACTCTTTCTTCCGACTTCTCTCGATCGTATCCGCTGCTCCGCAGTCGCCTAGCGCATATATCACGACTGCGAGTCTGATTGATCTGTACCGTGTGTATCATGTGTACGTGTCCACATGCCAAACGTGCGCGCATACATATTACTAGTATGATATGTCACACGTGCATAATTATGATATGTCACACGTGATTTATCGTGTGTAAGAAATATCGGCAATAAGAATCAAAATGTCGTTTTTCAAACACCCACGCTATAACCGATACCTACTGTACATGTACCGATTGTCTGTATATGTACATTATTGTATTGTTTCATTGGTTTGAGAGTTGATTCGATTCAATTGAAAAGAGTGAAAGTGAGAAAAGGATGGAGAGAGAGAGAGAGAGAGAGAGAGAGAGAGAGAGAGAGAGAATTGTCCGCCAAATAATGGTGTTGCTGGTACAAGTATGACTCACCTTATGAAGGCAGTTCTTGTCAGTGTCATCCACAATATGAGGATCGGCTTTGTTGACCAGCAAGAGCTCCACAATAGCGAGGTGGCCAGCGAACGCAGCACGATGCAGTGGGGTTGCCAGGCTGCTTCGCGTCCGGCAGTTAACATTGGCGGAGAAATCAGTGACCAGGATGCGGCAGGTGGATAGGTGCCCGGCACGACATGCGTAATGCTGATACAGAAAAGAGAGAGAGAGATGGGGATAGGAATGGAGACACAGATGGCCAAATACTGAGATCGAGAACGTGGGAAGAAAAAAAGGTGACAACTGCATGCACATGTACATGTACATGTACTTCAACAGTGCAGTAGAGGACAGCGTAATGAGTCAGTGTGTGTGTGCCGAGTGCACTAGTGCCTTACAAGAGCACAATAGCCGGACACGTCCTGTTGATCGGCACATGCCGTGCCCGAGCGTAAGAGATGGCGCAGTCGCTGGTCATCCTGGTTCAGTGCAGCAGCCCATATCCCCCGTTCCCAGCTCAGCTCGTCCAGTGTCTGCGAAGCTGAGTTGCCGCCACCATGAGCACCACAGCAGTGATCACTATGATCAGCCATTGCCTGCATCGCAACGCACACGGCCACCAAAACACACAACTCTGTAAAAAAAAATACAACAAGAGAGCTACCTGCTCAGGATCCTCGCTATGCTAGCTCTTTAACTAAAGGAATACCGTAGAATCCTGCAGATAAGCCCACCCGCGTATAAGCCCATGCTCGCGCATAAGCCCAGGCCAAGTTCGAACATCGCGAAGCTTTGTAGTACAAGTCCATGGGCCTAGGTCGTACCATGTACGTAGTACATAAACGTTGTTTTTTTGTACATTTCAACACAATCATCGGTTGTTTTTGTTTGCACAGTGATTTTCAGCAATGTACTTCTCACTTCCTTGGTACTTTTCAATAACACAATTTTGGTGTCGGCGTAAAAGCCCGTGTCTGCGCATAAGCCCAATGAAATGTCCTTGTGAAACAGATAAGCCCAGGGGCGTATACGCGGGATTCTACAGTATTGGTAAAGCAATAAACTTTCGCAGAACCCACATTTTGCATTTTCATGAATCGGGCTGGTTCATGATAAGAAACCTTTGCGATTTTTGTTTCTTCAGTTGGATCTTGTACAGTACTGTCTACAATCAATGTACGGAGCAGTTTGCGGGAATTTATATTTGCGAATGTGTGATGGTCACGCAAATAGCGAACTTTAATCTCTAGCGAAAGTTTCTCACTTTACACTTTACAGTGGCTCATTTTGCTGAGTTAGCTGGGCTGGTCACTCAGACTGATATGCGTATGTATGACACCTGCTCTCTGCACTCTTGCTTCATGTGATCAGCCATGTGGTTTGTGACGGCCTGAGGCTGACCGTGCACATATGAACGCAGTAAAGTGGTGAGGACCCTGGCTAAGCCAGACACCACTACATAACCTCTTTTGCAAAGCTTCAGGAATAACAGCAGTTTTTAGACGCCAGCGCGTATGTGGCCAAACTTGCAGTTTACCTTTGCGGACTAAGCAATAAAATTAATGGAGATTGCTTTCGAGTAGAACTGTTTACCTCCCTGACTGTAGTGAATGTTGCCCTGCCTTACTCATGACATGCACTACAATTATGTAATATCTCGTACTGTAGCACTGAGTGCATGCATGCATGCAGTACAACGCTCATGGAATAATCATGGAGACATTGGACACTTGTCATGCACGTATTGCGCAGCAGGTGCACAATTACGTGATGATGCGCTACGGGTGAGTACACAATACCACTCGTAACAGGCGCGTGCTCGGCGATGGGCACGGGGGGCACGTGCACCCCCCAAAAATTTTCAATCTGGGTAATTGCAATTGTAATGTATGCAAATATGCTCTAAAATTCAAGAAAGGTTGCAAACAAATTGCAGAAAATTGGGGGGGGGGGGGGCTCCCCTCGGCTCCCGTGCACCCCCCTAGTTGGGGGGCCGAGCAAGCCCCTGCGTAATACAGGCCTGCCCATATGCCCATATGCCCATGTACATTGTACTGTTACTTTTTCTTTCTTTGTTTTTAAGCCATTTTGACCCATTTTGAAGTTCTTTCCTCTTCTTGCATGATATTCGCATGCTACTTGAGATTCTTTCAGGTGATAAAGAACATAGGAATAGGACGCGTTGTAAGGTATTCTACACTATCATTGCCAATGGCAATACAGTCTGTATCGGCTATAGCGTACCCTTTTGATTTCCGTGATTTTATCACTATAACCGATGCATCACTATATGCGATACGATCGATTTTTTTCTTTTTTCAATCTACACATGAAAGGCAAGGAAATACAATGTACATGTACTTCCAGCATGGCGTTTTGACAAATGAGCATGCTGCATAGTTGACAGTGCCTGCATTTCCATAAAAAAAATTCTGTTATGTACATGTGCATGTGTCATATCGGCCTCGGCAGCTGACGGGTTCTCCCGGGCTGTACGACAAACTTCCCCGGGTTGTACGACGAACTAACTACTCTGCCGGTACTAGTTTACATGTTGGGTGAACGTGTTCCCCTCATGAGCGCGCGTTTGTACGGCAGTTGTCTTTTATATCTACTTGTCATTTTTATCAATGCATGGGCCGCGGGATGTTGTATCTGCTAACTGTCTTATCGTATACGCTGGCTGTTTAGTTAATTCATAAATAATACGCATTTCTCCTTGTCTTCTCCCATTGGTCAATTCTGCATAGCTACAAGCTCTCTATGGTCTGATTGGTTGGTTTTTCCCGCCTTTGCTACGCCTTTGTCTAACTCGATCCTTTTCGTTATCATATAACTCCTGCTGCTTCTGATCAAAAGTGCCAACCTTCCTTCGACCTTCAATCTTTAATCGAGCTTGAAATCACAGTTACTCTCAACCTTCTTCGAATGATCAAGGTGAGCGTGTGTGGCTGAATGGATACTTGGATCAACTATATTGGTTGATGACCTGGTGGGGTTACTACGGCAATGCGAATGTATATGTTGTAGCCTTGAGATCGGTATTGTGTATGTCCGGCATGACACATGTATCACTATAAAAATAAGCAACGTGAAGAAAGTAAAAAAATAGGGCCTTTGATATTATTGCTACATGTATTCTAAAGTAAGTTATCACAATAGCCGATAATAATATAGTGTGTTATGCATGTTTTGATTCTTTGTTGCCATCATAATAATTATCCGATATATCATTTATTAATACATCCGATAATATTGGTTATAGTGATATTTGTACTGGATAAAATACGTTTTGCTCAGTTTGATATTTCGTACCAATATCACTGTCGCCGATATATTCTTATATCCGGTCTAGTCACTCTATACTATAGCCGATACAGACTGTACTGTAGTCTCCTAACGAAGGACGTAGCACTGAAATCACTTGAGTGAGCATTCCCCACAGAAACTAGACCTCAACAATGTATCACAGTTGCTGTAGATGATTGTTCACCTCTCTTACCACACGTGTCTTTAGTCGGCTGTTGGATTGTTGCCCATCTACTTCCACGGATAACTCTGTAGTAGATCTACGTGTTGATTTGGTCAAGCACGAGGAAACCACTAGCTAGAACTTTAGAAGCAGGGCACAAGCTCCCTACACTACACTACAGTACTCTACATTGCCTACACAGGCTACAGCCCCCTTACTGCCTTAGCTGGATCCCATATTGCCATAATGACTAATGTAATGGAGTGAGTAATCACCCTCCATATTCACGTTTTTTTACACATACAGAGTCAGTACAGTAAGTATACAGCTACAGGCAGGTCTTCTTCATCATTCTTGTCTCTTGATCTTGGCCACGTGTATTCGAAAGTTTGAAAATGGGGAATCCCCACCTTTGAGGCATCACACACTATGACTATATAGTATGAGTATGACCAAGAGGCAAGTACATACAATTAATGTACTCTTGGTATGACACAGACACTGCACTGAGAGCTAGAGTGAGACTACTCCTGTTCTACTGTAACTGTGTTGAGGCACGTCTGCATGGCAAACAGAGACAAGGAACACAGGAACCCGCATGCTATTTCTGCAGTCACTTCGCCAATCAACTATTGAACTACATCATGTACTTGAAGAATTTCTAACAGCGCGCATTCATCCACTGAAACCATCCGTACTGCTAATGAGGTTCGTAAATCATTTTAAGTCCCGGTACCTCGATTCTGCAGTATCGACACAGCGCTTCAACTGAACCGTTTCTTCTTTTGCAAAACACACTTACACCCCCCCCCCCCCCCCACACACACACACACACCCGCGCGTGCGCACACGAAGACACAGACGCTGCTACATCACGGCACGCATACTCGTACATGAGTTATCTCAATAACCTGGTCATGTCACACTGTGAGAAACAACATCTCAACATCATGCCATACATGGTCCAGCATGATACATGTGGAAATGCAGAAAGCCAGCAATGAAATCATCAAAAATATTTATAAAAAAAACTGCCAGTACCCCCAGTGTTCTGACAGTACACACAATCGGGAAACAGCAATAAAAAAAGTTAAAAAGTCCACTCAAAACACTACGTCACATCAAAACACCAGCAGTGATGATATGGCAGCCATTGGCATGAAGTATAAAAGGAGAGGGAAGAACGCAGTCAGATAGAGAAAACACTCCTCAAAAATTCAAGCTATTCAACACCATCGACACAGTGTGGCCCGCAGGTATACTTGGCGGCATGCACGATAGTTCACATGTACATGCAAACAGTGTCGCTGCAGAGCGACGTCATCAGATTAAAAATATATACGATATCATTTCGTGATAAATTATTAATGCGCGGGATTTGCGAAAGTAAACGAATCAACCCTGATCGCCGGAAGTACGCGAGAAGAACAACAGGCACTGAATGTATAAATTATAGGCTGGAAAGAAGAGAGATGAGCTACCTATACAAGAGAACCTAGTAAAGCTAATTGATGAGGATCATAACAAGGTTTGGCAATTAGTGACTGATGTAAGGTGCCATGTTGTCGCATAGGCAAGCTTCATGCACCAAGAGGCCTAAGCCGTTCCGACAATTACAGATCCCATCGATTCGAGGCTTCAAGTAAAGCCACAAACAGACGAAAAAACAAATGCCAGAGAAACTAACTCTTTGATCTGATGTGGTTATAGGTGTTGAAGGTGACGCATGCCGTACTCCAGCCAACGATAAACCATACCCAGAGCATATGGGAGAACGGTGACTTGTGGGGATTTTTGTAACTGCTACTCAGCAGCACAGGCATCTGCTTGCGAGCGCAGTAGACAAACGCCACAGGGATAAGGTACTGCACGCCAACACCAGCATACGAACCCGTGTAGCCAACCAGCGTGGTGAGATCATCCGTCACAAAGGCGATCGCCAGCGGCGGCAGCAGCGCAGCGATTGGGAACACAAGTCGCTCAATGGTGAACGAATACGTCTTCATTGGATCTAAGAAGAGCGACTTGAGATTGTTACGCAGTGTGATGGAGATGATCGGGAAGTTGGTCGACAAGACAAACACGGGGAAAAGGCGCAGGAAGTAGGACAGGACTTTAGGTACCACATCACTATTGAAGTTGTTACTGTACTCATCCTGGATCAAAGACTCCTCGAAAGCCAACACTGCCGTGAAGTTGACAAGAACGTAGAAGACAAGGACCAAAATGAAGTCGCCCATCAACATCAGTGACAAGCGCCGCTTCTGACGGATGGGCGTGACGAGTGACGGCAGCGAATGCTGGCACATGAACGAGTAAACGGAGACGCCAAACATGTTGGGCACATGCTTGAAGCTGGCGATGTTGTCCAGCTTGACCGAGCCATGCTTTGCAATGTGCTGCCCGGCCAGTGCAATCATAGTGATGAACGCTGTGACACGACAAGTGACAACACAGAACAATATAATACTAACAGCTCAGCAGGTACTCTAGGTGCAAGCGCGCGCACACCCACACCGACACCCACAAACACCCTCAGACCTCAGATCTGCCCATCGCAGAAGCGATGATAGCGAACAGCTATGTTAGACATAGCAACTTGTGCTGGGATTACACCATTCAACAGCACAAACACCCACACACACACACACACTCATATGGAAAAAAACATAATCGTCTTGGTCACTCCCAATGCAAGCAACACACAGCAAGTATGCTATCACAATACCGGTAACGCCATACAGGGAAAGTAACAATGAGAACTCATAGTTGACAAGCTGCAATGTAGAAACTAGACACTCACCAAACCATCTGAGAATCGTTGTGGCCAGCTGCATAATCTTGGTCTTTTGCAGGTCAAAGAACGTGAATGGCCCGAGAAGCAATGCGAAAATACCCTGCAAGAAAAAGGAGAAAGACAAAAAGTAGATGAAACGTAGCAAAAGCGTTGCCAGCTTGGAAAAGAACTTAGTAAAGAATACCGTGGATTTAATATAGGGCTCAAACGGTTAGTCCGATTAATCGGTTGCAGACCGGTTACGAAGGATTAACGGTTAACCGATAAAGATAACGGTTACGCAGTAACTTTTCAGTCAATTTTTCAAGTATCAGTTCGTTGCAAAGTATGCACTTTCGCAGGCTGTCGCACGCGTACGCAATTTCTGGGCTGTCAACTCGGTCATATCAGTATTCTAGTCTCTTCGTGTGAGAGTATGTATGAATGAGCATGCAAGAGAATGTACACGTGTGCGTTGTACTGAAAAGGGTACATTTTTTGAACGAGTATAGTCAAATATAGTACCGTTATAAAAGAGTCCGCAGGATTGCCGTGGCTTATAGGTTATAACCGTTAAACCGACCGTTAGCTTAGCAGTTACCCGTTTTGGGTAAAACCGTGACCGTTTGAGCCCTAATTTAATAGTAGCACAGAGTATCACTATGCTCTTATACAGTACTGTGTCAAAATGGATTCAGGGGGCGCATGTGCACGCATGACCAGCACAACCCTGCACAAACTGGTCAGCAAACTACAAGCGTAACACGTATTTCCCCAGCCTCCACACGAGGGCATCATACATACCAGGAAGAGCCAGTAAGCGCGGTGGTCGGTGATCCTGCCAAAGCAATAGTGCTGCGTCAGACTCTTGTTCTGCTTGTGCAGCTGCAGATCATCATCAGACAAGTACGTGACGTAGTCATCATCCGAATAAAAGTCGGCCCCGTCGTACTGAAAGTCACTGGACATGTTGCCCGTGCTGTTTGTAACATTCGGAAACGTTGAGTTCGACATGTTCGGATAACGTACGGGAGAATAGCTAGAAGGCAATACAACACACACACATAATACATGTGTATAATAAACATAGCGCTTCAGTATAGACCGTTGCAAAAATGAGGGGCTGCACTGGGGATTGGCGGTGCTCAGGGTGTCCAGCAGCCTCGGTTTCACTCATCTCTCCCCCAGTCAGTCTACAAACAGGCGGGCAATGCAGCCTTCCACGCAAAACAAGACTGTCAATGGGATTCTCAGTACCAAGATGATCGATCATACACGAGCATAGCACCTTTCTTCACAGCGAATGACACTAAGGAAGCAAAGAAGAAAAACAAGTTGCAAACGTACCAGGTGACGTTGACAAGCGCTTTGGGAATGGCCACAGCGTAGATGGCCAGATCTCCGTACAGGTATATGCATACGCATAGGTAGTAGAGGAAGATACCAACTGCAAAGACAGAGATACCAATGACAACGGCATGATCATTATGATCGCATACACCCCTGCCCCCCCCCCCCCACACACAGGTGGGCACCCTTGGATGACACGCAATGCATACAAACATACATAATTATGGAACATACACAAATATGGTAATTATGGAACAAAAAGAAGACCCAGACTTTGGTAGTCTTTACACTTCTAGTAGTGATGCAGTAGATGTAGCAAGCACACCAGTCAGTGATTGCACACATGACACTGTGTGTACTACATGTACTTACTTCGATTGAAGAACAACTTTGCCATTGTGCCCTGCACCGCATCACACACATGACAACACGAAGCACGGGGAGTCAGCAGAATTCATCCACAAACTATGAGTACGACACCGAAAGCTGACATGACCCAACGATCCATCTAAAATTAACTACAAGGCCACAAACCACGGCAGGAATCAAAAACATCTGGCAGATGCAGCACTCGAGATTATTGTACTACATGGACCAGCACACACAGAGGGGGGGGGGGGGGGGGGGCATTTCCTACAGCACACCCCAGATAATGTAGCAGGAGCACAACAACCGAACACCGCTAGTTGCTTTCACAAATTTATTCTTGTACTCGTACCATTTCAACGCGATCGTTGATCTCATAGATGGTCGTGTCGTCACCGTACTCGCCATTGGCCAAGATTTCTTCAGACTCTTCCTGGCCATCTGCTGCATTCCCAAGAAAGAAAGGCAGGTAGGAATTTTAACAAGACATCAGATTTTATGTGCAAGTACATGGCAAAGGCCAACGACTTCGACTTTACACATAGATAGTCACCAACATAGGACAAACGTGACTGGTGATGTGCATCAGACCCTGCTGGAACAGTCAACGTCCTAAGTACTGTACCAAGAAGTGCAACGTCTGCATGATTGTGTCCATGTAGGCCGGGAAGCAGAAAGATGCACTATGCACAGGATAAGCACTACACCGCACTTCAAAGTGCATGTACTACTACAACAGGTGTAGTAGTACGCTACTGATGGCTGCAAAGTTCACAAAGAAGAGCATCGCTTACTACGAACGCCACTGCAAGCGATTGACTGAAGTTCAAAGAGGCAAAAGAAATCAAGATTCCTCTAACCTGACATGTGACGGTTTGTAGATCCAGCATACTTCACCCTCTTGTGGCCCAATGAAGAGTATGGCATCAGCTGCAGGAGTAGCAGTCATTCAAGACAACAGACGTTTCAAAAGCAGGTGCAGACAGTACGCAGTGCATACCCATACAAAGTCATGCGTTCTTGTTCTAAAGAAATAACCTTGCAGTGCACCTTCATATGCCGACTTACAGGAGAACGCTCGGTCGGTGAAGCTTGCTGCTCTCGCGCCTCTCTCCTCTGTTTGCGCAACACCAAGACGGCGTTTGCTGCTGCCATTCCTTCTATCATCATCGTTGCCGTCACAAAGCTATGCAACATTGAACACAGAAACACATACATACATACAGTCAACTTCGCTTATAACGACACTCGGCGGGGTATCAAAAAGGTGTCCTTATTCGCGAAGTGTCGTTATACCCGAAGTCTCATTATATGTATCACAGCGCGATGGGACTTTGCTCTGGGCATGGAAATTCTGTCGTTATTCGCGAATTGTCGTTATATCCGCAGTCGTTATTAGCGAAGTTGACTGTACATACATACAGACACACAGACAGACAGACACAGACACAAGCACACGAACACACACACACACACATGGTTGTCGCTGCATGGTAGTGAGTTTCACAGTGAACAGGGAAGCATTAGACCAACTCTAAAGAGAATTCTACATTGGTGTTTCCCGTACGCAAAATGAAGTATGAAACAGGCTTTAGGAATAGCCACAGAAGAAATGGGAGGTGCTAGTATGCATCGAAGATGGTTGTCAGCTTGTTTTGCGGGGCGAGTTGTCCCATAGTTAGCAGGTTCCACCAGCTCCAGTAAATTTGTGAGTACTACAGTACACAGTTCATGACCTTCTTGCAGAGTTGTTGGCAATACAGTCTGAGTGTGTACGGCTGTACACTTGTAGTGGACTTGCCCCACAAAACCGAAAGGCGAGAAAATGATGCCGGAATGATGCGTACGTCCTATTGGCGCCACGAGGAGGCTATTTGTACATAGGTTTCCACACATTGACTCATTTATTTCCACACGACAGCCATGTCAGTACATGAGAACATCTGTATACATACTTATATGCACATGCAGCAAGACAGAGCAATGTTGACCTTCAGAGTCGGATTCTCAATACTGTAAAAGCCCATAATAAGGCCCTGGGCGGAAACGTTAGCGAAGGTCCAGAACAAAATGTAGTGTCGCGTATAAAAGCATGACCCGAATAAAAGCCGACTTTTTGAAGAGCGCCGTGACACAGAAGCACGATTTGAATAGAAGCATGCGTGCAAGTACATGTATGTGCACACTACATGCATGACAATGTGCACTGTACAGTGTAGACTGAAGATTTTGACGTAGAAGCATGTGTTGAATAGAAACATAACTTGAATAGAAGCCTGGTTTGAACCCCGGCTTATACGGCCATAAGCACTTGCTTTTATACACGACATTACGGTAGGCGTCACTTTGGGAATGGGCGTTATTTCGGATGAGCGAGATCAGACTGATTTCACAACTGATTTCACATAAAGATGCCGTCCTATGTACAGTGTTAGCACAGTGTACTGTACACTGTGCTACCGTATTGTACCTGCAAGTGGAGCTGCGTGTGCACCGCACTGTGTACTGGGGCTGTGCTTTCGCCCATGGGCGTTCACACGGAGGTGGGCTAGAAAATGGGACAAACGTGTTGACATCGGCACCTGGGCGTGTACACGGGCAACGGGCATTATACTGGGTGGGCGTTAATACGGGCTTTTACGGTACTCAATTGCAATTCGGGGTGTGCTTGTACTCTGTCATTGCAGTGACAAATAAGGTAACACGGTGCATACACGCGTGTGCCACTGCGTGCGTGTGCGCGCACGTGCATATGTGTGTGTGTGTGTGTGTGCCCCTGCATGTGCGTGTGTGCGCGAGTGTGTGCCGCTGCGGGTGTGCGTGCGTGCATGTGCAAGGATATCCTAAGTACTTAAGTTTCCCTGGCTAATACATAATTATAATAATTTAATTACGGGTGTGACACAATCACAAACGTCACCTCATAAAGGCAAGAATGCAGAGCAAGACGACGCCGAGAACCCATCCGACATCAGCAAAGGCTTTGGGCATTGCCAGCACGCCAGCACCAACGATCAAATTGAATACATATACGAAACCCACCTGTGAGAAAAACGTCACAGACATGAGTTTCAACCAATTCCTTCACACTAAATTTGGCCAAGCCTGCATATCCTTACAGGGCGGGAGTATAAAGATCCAACTTCAGTAACTGTTCCCATTTTTCCGGTCTCGATGAACACTCGATGAACACAAGTAGGTGAAATGTGGGCCAGGTAATGAAAGAAAGCAGAACACTAGCCAATAATCAAGCTACAATTATGTGAACAATTGTGAATGGAATTTCGTTGAACAGCTTCTACGGTTTCATCCTGTACAAACAATTTGCTCAATGATCATGGCAAGACCTGGAGATAGAAGAGAGAGCTTAATTTAATGCTTCACCACAAAATAGGGTAGACAAAATAATCAGGACAGGATATCTTGGGACACATGCACATGCGACAGTTCAAATAAATCAAACTGCAAAAGGAGTTCTCCCGTCACAAAACATTTCTACAAAACAGTTGCTGCTTGGACTAGCTCGATACTACTACTAGTACTTAGTAGCGCTACCCGCTAGCTCAGCTACTGAGCTAGCAGTAGGATCGCCAAGCCCTACTCAAGGGCCAGTTTTATTTGCAACCGCGGGAAACAAAGCCCCCATGACGCCGTCTTTTCAGGCCTTCAGGAATGGCCGAAATTCCGAAATTTGTGGAGGACTCTACCTGGCCCTCGTCGTCTCAGTGGCCGGTCAAGGGCAATCAAAGGGTGTTTTCGGCTCCGTAGGGATACCTTCTACCCCAATATGATATTAGTTTGAGGATGAGCTGCGTGAAGCGAAGTTACAGGGCTGATGTTTGTTGGACGTCGTCATTTCCATTTGCATTCATCAATCATTGGGCTCGAAAGAACTGGCTGGTAAGTGAAAACTGTATAACTGGCACTAAAGCCACTTGGTGGGTAGGTTGCCGCAACACTCTAGTTTATCAAACAACAAAAGAAAGCAGTGTGGGTGCTTGCCACACAACGCGGCACGAAATTCCCAGAGGTGTGTTGCCATTACGTGAAAATCACGACGTAATATTCTCGCACATATCAGGGGCGATATGTCTCTGTTTAGTATCAATCATGGGCAATGCATGTGTGACGCATCTATTGACAAAGAGCAAATGATGTAAAGTAATGTCGTGCCTTCCATAATGCTTGGACTTGAAAAAAGTAGCATTTAGCCAGTGAGTACTGTGGTACTCTAAAGATTTCCTTGAGTATGGATTTGTATTGCTCAAATAATGGAGGTGAATACGCCAGGAAATCTTTAGATTTTTCATAATATAGCAGTAGGGGATAGTCCGAAAAGATTCTTGGTACACTGCAGTATATATAATTATAATATACCATGCACATCATAAGCCGCGTCATGTTCCTGCTGTTGGAGCTGTTTGTGCTGGTACCACTGTGGTTGTCGTAGCTGAACATGATGATGCTGCTGCTGCTGTTGCTAATGAGGAGATTTGGGTTGATTATGTGACGATAGGTGCTGCAAATGGTTGTTGTCAGGGGTTGGTGCTACAGCTAGTTGTGCTATTACGACGGGTTATTTTGCAGCAACAAATTGTGGGGCTTTGAAGGGTTGTGCAGATTTGCTGCAAGGTTTGTGCTGGTGCTTGAGGTGCGCTCACGCTGCACATACTCCCCCCCCCCCCCCCCCCCCCCACTGAGGCCGCAATCAGGATTTGTAACGTAACTGTGACGTTCAGTTCATGTGTGTGCTGTTGCCATTCAACTTACCCGCTTTTGCGCATGGCCACCGGTTTTGGTCGCAATGTGAGCATGCCCTCAGTGGGTTGTACTGCTGCTGCTGCGATTGTTGCTGCTGCTGCCACTGGCATTACCGCTACCGCTGGTGTTGCTTTTTTTAGCATTGTTGCTGCTGTCGCTCCTCCTGGGACCCGTGTTGCTGCTGTGATCGTTATTGAGTCTGTACACTTGCCGTTGCAGTCTTGAATCTGGATCACTTTATCAATGGTCCTTGTGCACGTTGTACAGATGTACGAATTCCCGTAGTTGTTTGTATTCCTGCTTGGGTGTTCGTTGTGTGCCATACATGCACATTTGACCAATTTAGACCAATAATTATGGGAAGACAATCGCTTTTCCAGCTTCATCACTTTGGATAGAGCTCAAGACTAGCTAGATCTTCTTTGGAAAAATGGTTCCGTATGAAATGCCTTCAGGGCACGTTTCATAAAGCAAAGAGCAGTGAACACGTTTTCCTGTACATTCAACACCCAACACAGTCTACAGGATTCTACAAGATTCTATGAAATTTCTTGCATCTGTACAGCATTACTTGTTGAGTACAGAAACCCATGACTAGGCATTACATGAGTTGAAAATGTTGCCGCGGTACATGTATTTGTCGCGATGTCTACGTGTGGTATATCGGTCCTGTGGAAACCACGACAGGTGTCTTCACAGTTGATTCTTTACCACTGCGTGTTATTTTGTGTGTTATCTACAGATGTCATGGAGAACGTGTGCAGCATACCTTTCTGAACCCTGACAGACATGTGTCGGTCAACCATTGACATTATAGCAATGTATGCATGGCAGCAATGTTTATCAGCTCAGCCGAATGTCTATATGTTTCCACCACGTCGATCAGGAAGGTGTGTACATGCTTGATTCTGCATGTAACTGTGTGGCTTGGCCTCTAGCACTGTATACTATTGTGTATATTCTGCTTCAAACATTCACCACAGTGACTTCCAGAGGTTAAGACAATTTGATAGCAGTTCGAATGGCATATCTCTCGCTTGCATACGATAAGCCAAACTTGCCAATTCGCCAATTCTATGCTCACGTTGCCATACCACGTCAATCACATACATGTATCATACATTACTAGCACCTGCTTCTTTTTTTGCTTGAGGCCCTTGACACAATGACATGTGACAAGTCATGTGATTTGGAAAGTCGTAAAGAGTACAGCTCAACTTCAAGCTGAACGAGGGTATCGAGTACATGCGCAGTACTACGCCCAAAACGAGTCGTAGATCTACGTGACGTTTTCGTCCGGATAGCCATGACAACATGGAACGTGGCGGGAAAATCGTACTCCTGATACGAAAACGTAGACGACGTATCCAGACCCCTCGTACCGAGTTTCGTTCTGTCGTTCCCAGCAGTTTGTGTTTCATTTACACTTTTGAGTTTGCTTCACACCGGTGCACCTTTTATCAGCCATTACGTATGATTTATAATGCAGTGGCAGTACCAGGCGTGGGCCATCCCCTGGATTATCAAAATGGGTGCTTTATCATTTTTCTGTTGTTTTAGTTTGTGTACAAAAGAAGCTGTACACACAGCTGTACGAGCAGCGTGTGCGTGCCTGTGTGAATGCACCTGCATGAAAACGACGTCTGCCAGCACGTCGTATTCCAGAACGTGACGCGTATTGTAACGTAGTATCCCCCTAGCCCTGGCCCAGACAGATCCTGCCGGCAATTCTTTCGGCAAAATATCGAAGAATTTCAATAGCGGAAATTGCCGGCAAAATCGGAGCAAAATGTCGAGATGTTGGGTAAAATCGATGCCTGATACTTGGATTTCCTTTTACCCGTTCAGCATGATACACTGCCAGTCCATCCTCAAGCGTTCCATCGAGACTTACACTGATTTTTGCGATCTTTTTCTTGAGAACGATTCTCACCCTGAAATGACTTTCGGCGACTGACGTGAAAGAACACTCATGACACCCACCTCGTCGAATGGAGCATGCATTGTTTGTGGTGTATGGGTGCAGGAAGGTGGTATGTTCGCGAGGTGCATATCGAAAATGATCCGAAAGACTTTGTGATGGTGCCATTCGGCGGAGAACATTTGAATTTTTCGTACGATTCAGAGCAGTCGGCGAAATCGAGCCAGTGACCTGAAGGGAGGGCGTGAACAGGTGTAATTTTCGACAATGTGGTTGCCCTCGACCCTGCTCTCGGGCATTCGAGTAATGGTTATAGCAAAATCGATGGTGCTCCAGGTTTTTCAGACGCATTTCTTGACCATACTCAATTCCGTAGATAAACCTGTGCACAGAAAGCACGCAAGAGTTCAAACTAACTCCACTGTATTCAGTTTACGTGTTTTCCACAGATCCAAAACACTCCTGGGACCAGGAAAGTGGACAATACGCTGGAGTATAGACGTGCACACTGCGACCACGCCCACGCGCCACTCCTGCACACCCGTGTCGGACATCACATACTGGCCATGTCACGGTGCCGCAGACGTAATGGGTGTGCCCCACACGCTTGCGTTACACACGTTTAGATCCTACATGCACACGTGGAGCACAAACATGCCCAACTTGCGTGCCGCGGATGCACACACACTGTTCGTACATGCCGGATACACTTCGCATACATCACATGTGTGTGCCACACCGTAGGAGGAATACAAACGAGCACGGATACGCACACAAGAGAGTACCTCACCAACAAAGCCTAGCCAGGTTCGCACTCGGTTTCCCTATCAACACTAATTTCTGGCTAGAATAGTGCAGTAGCAATAGCCGAAACAGAGAGAACGCAACACGGGTGGCCGAGCAAGTGACAAACAGCATAAACAAGACAAACGTACTTTGTACATTCACATACAGTCAACTTCTCTAATAACCACTGCGTATATAACGACAATTCGCGAATACGACAGAATTTTCATGCCCAGAGCAAAGTGACACACAGCATAAACAAGACAAACGTACGTTGTACATTCACACACTTTTAAAAGTTTGTATACATGTATGTGATTGCATTGATATGCTTTGGTTTTCTTTCCTCAAAGGAGAAGTGACGCGTGCATGGTATATGCATAGACCGTTGAAGTTCGTGTGAATGCATCAGACGCACACATGTACAGGACACTTTGCATTTTTCAAACTGAAACCGTATACATAAGCATGCGTGTGCGTGTGTGTGTTTGTTTGTGTGCGGGGGTACGTGTATGTGTGAAGAGCAAAAACCAGTACTGTTTCGGGGTAAACAAGTTAGTTGTTTACGATAGGATTATATTCTCACTTGGCCATTGTAGGCAAATCATAAGAACCACGACATCTAAAGGATGCTGCATGAAAGTAGGCAGCTGCGAGATGCGTATCTCGCGCATGCTCTTGCATGGCTACGTAATGCATTACATCATAATACAACATCCCCTTCGTCATAAAGGAGTTTAACAACCTACATAACATACCGTACGTATATGACGGCGTGTTCACAATATAGAACATAACATCCAACAATAGCTCTATGTACAAGGTAACAATCATGAATGGCACACGACGGCGTGCTAACAATACAGAGACATAGTATCCAACAATAGCTCTATGTACAATATAACAATGGCACCTCAGCTACTGAGACATAAGCGAACAGGTCCATGAGGCCTCTCTGGCCCTACACATCCAGGATTGACCTGGGTGCGACTGCGCGGCCAGACCGTGTTCGATACAGCTGGGTGGCAGGTTCAGCAGGCT